TATTTTGTCTGATGATAAAACCATGAGTGTATGAAGTTGTACATTTTTCATCTGTTTTTTGACCTTATCTTTTGTGAGTGGCTTCTGTGAAGGTATCCTAACTATAGGAGGCACCTGGCAAACATATATGATATCTATGCTGTGATAAGCAGTTATGAACAAGAAAGTAGATCTGTCAATTCTGAACTATTCATTGTTAAAAATACTTTGTTGATTTAGCTGATTGCAAAATACATTATAGAGTGCCTAACAGCTGCTATAACATTCTTAGTCAAGAAAGTTCAATAGTTATATTGTACAAGATTTTCTGTAAGAGCTTAATACTGATAGGAACAACATGGATTAAAACAGCAGGGTTGAGAAGAACTGCTAACCCATGTGCTTCTTTAAAATACTGCAACTACTTGTGGCACAAGCTGATTAAGTACAAATTGGGAAGTCTTTAATTTGTTAAAAAGATTAAAGTGAAATTACTTGTTAATATTCAAGTCTCTCTTTCCTATATGTCAGTGTTGTCAGAGATGTTGGAGTTCTCCCTCTCATGTTTCTGGTGATATGTCTCTTTTACAGTCTTCAGATTTCTTGACCAACTTTACCACCTTGAATTACAGCGAATTCTCTATTGGATAAACACCAGGGTATTAAAAACCATATTAAAAAATTTGAATTGTTTTTGAAGAGCAACAGAAACAGTCAATGCTGGTAAGAGATAGTAAGGCCAACATGAAAATTCTATCCACATTACAGTATTGAAGTTGTTTGAATAAGATTTTTTTCCTCTTAGTTAAGCAGTATTTTGTGTATTCAGCACTTCAGCATAAGTCAGAGATTTGTTTCACCCAACTTTAGCTGACTAAAGATAGTTTCCTAGTCTAAGCTGTGTGTTTAAGAGGATGATTCATTTCAGCTCTCTCAGTCACCAAGAGGGGTCTCATATCTCAGGCATCCTAGAATAGGATGAGTCACTCAGGAGGTTTCTTTCTTCCCTGTCTATAGGAGCATCTACATAAGTAGTCTGGACTAGCTTAACTTTCAGGCATCTAAGGTTAGAGGTGATGAGTTCTGCCCTAAGTTTAATACCAAATATAGAGACGTAGCTGAAATTCCAGTAGACTTACTTGACTCATGACTAAACATAACCTATGATATTATATAACCTTGCTCCTAAGAGCCTTTTTTTCATGCAGTGATGTTCTTTTAAATGACAGAATTCACTTACCAGTCTTCACTGCTACAAGGAAAAACAGAAACCAGGTTTTGCTTCATTTTAGAGTATTTATCATTGCTGATACTTTTATACCACTCTTTGGTGTTGATGGTAAAAAGTTATTTCTCCTTTAACTTAAAATGTAATTGAGCAACAAAGTAAAGAAAAAAGCATGGGAAGAACAAAATGAGATTAAAAGGAATCAACAGGTTAGTAGCAAAGTTGGTACTATATATAAGGCAAAAAGCACTTGATTGGACTTGGAAGAAAGAAATAATTCATTTCCTGAATCCAATTAAGTGTCTGCACCAGTAAATTGAAGAAAAATATAATCAGTTCTAAAATAAATATAAAAAAATAGTCTTTTTGAGACTGAAAAGTAGTCAGTGGCTGAACAAAAAGAGTAAACAATGGAAAGAAAATAAATTCTGTAAGGAAATAAACTCCTTTGTGCAAAACAAATGTTAGCTGCTAAAATAGCATTAAGTAAGGGGAAAGAGAAGAAAAAAAATCTTGACAGATGTGTTTTGTTACCAGCTCTTCTGCTAAGCTTCCTTTTGGCTTTTTAAAGTTGCACTGTCTCCAACACCAAATGGATTGTCTTGGTTGCCCATTTCAGTCTGACCTTGATGCTCAACTGAGCCTGGGATAGACTTCACAGAATCTCAGAATATACTGAGTTGGAAGAGACCCTCTAGGATCATCAGCTCTGACTCCTGGCCCAGCGCAGGACCAAGAGTCACATCATGTGCCTGAGAATATCATCCAAATGCTTCTTGAACTCTGTCAGGCTTGGTGCTGTGACCACTTCCCTGGGGAGCCTGTTCCAGAGCCCATCCACCCTCTGGTTGAAGAACCTTTTTCTAATATCTAACCTAAACCTCCCCTGACACAACTTTAGGCCATTTCCTCAGGTCCTGTCACTGGTCACCACAGAGAAGAGATCAATGCCTGCCCCTCTCCCTCCCCTCATGAGGATTCTGAAATCAACAGTAATGTGCCATTTGTTGGTTTCACAGGCAGATTGGAGTAGTGGGGGGAACAGGAGAAATCTGTGGTAGTATTTCAGGTGTGTAATGCATGCACTTGGCAGTTGGTAAATAATAGAAAACATCAATAAAAATAATTAAGAATACTTCTAGATGCAAAGCAAAGTTTTCCTTAATGTAAATTCTACACATTTTATCTACTCTATTTGCACAAGACATGCATTAATTCATGAAAACTTGATTATGAAAAATACGTAACTCCATATTTCATGAAACACTGAAGAAGCAAGTTAATGAAAAGTTATCTGCTAACGTATATTTTCAGATCTTTCCTCATCTCCCAAATATTTAATTACTGTGTGCTATAGTTTGTGTACCTTAGCTGTGGTTTTGTCCTTTTGCTTTTCATCCCAGTCTTTTACTTAACTTTCTCCTCTTTTAATTCTATAGTTTAATTTGTTTGATATTCTGGTTGGTTACATTGATTGGAAGAATGCTCAAATTTACAGGTTAACACCAGGTTGGCATATATTATAACCTGAAAAAACTTTTAATATTTTGGAGCTAAAATTTCCATGATCGGACTCTATCTAAAAGAATTATTTCTAAATTTTGTTGTTGTTGTTGTTGTTCTGATTTAGTCCATATAACTTTATTATTTACAGTGGAAGAAAAATATTTCCTTTAGTATAAAAGTTCTTTGCAAAGAACATTTGAAGACCTTTCTGTGGTGGTTATACAGCTTGAGTTAAAAAACAAGAACTGCCCTTGCTGTGAAGCACTTTCCAACATTTTCAAGGAAACTGGAGTTGATCTTACCAGGTTTGAACTTTGAAAAACTTTCCTGTGTATCTCTCATTAAATTTGTTGTAGCTTTAAGTAGCTATGAAGGTAGAAATAGGAAGGTAAAAATATCCAATAGGTTCTTCAGTCCACCCAAAGAAAGCAGAGCTCTGATCACTACAAAGTAACTGTACAAATGCTAATTCAAAATAGGCTAGTTGGTTAAAAACAAATAATTGCTAAAACTGCTTAGCAAGAACTTGATGGCTTTTTCAGCCCGTGAGTATTTAGGACTGTCTTCTGAAAGGTAGCTTCAGATTGAACTGAAGCATGTGAACTTCAAATGCTTGGGCACAATTATACAGTGTATTTAACACAAAAAACCCTATACTAGATATAGGTTTTGTATTCAAGTTTTATTTTAGACACTGAAAGTGCCTCTGAATGTACTGGACTGTGTTTTTAGCACTACAGATGCACTGAACTATATTTTTGTAATCGAAGTCTGGAGTGAATATAGTATTGTGTTTGTGTGAGAAGTAGTTTATCAGGCTTGTATACTTCAGATTTGAAAAACTGTTTGTTTTATGAATTCAAGGAAGAATGTTTAATACAAGCCATTACATGTGCACATGAAGTTAATACTTTATAATGTTTGTATATAATCATGTACTTGAAAACTCTGGGTCACAATCTTATCTGGTATAAATATAGCTCCAGTGATAACATATGAGAATCTGGCATGGTTTGTTTTAATCACATTTCTTTACCTATGTTGCTAATTACAGCTTTTGTTATCATGAGTGGGGAAAAAATTACAAGTTACTGCTTAACTGATGTGCTTTTTACTCCTTCTTGTTTGTTAAATAAACAAACAGTCTGATTTTTCAGATTCTAAAGTACACTATATTTGTTTTTTAGTCCTGTCACTTTTCCATGGGACACCATTTTATAAAAAGTTTGCTTCAAACCATAATTCAGTCCTATTTGACTGATGTAGTTGTGTAGATTTGATTTTTTTTTCCATTTATCTTAGTGTATTCCTATGCAATAGTTTCTTGGATAGATTAGTCTTAAAAAAAATACAAATGCAGTAAAACAGCGACCTGGATAAGCTCTTAGAGATGTCACTTAACATTACTGTAGCCAGATTATTTTCTGTTAATACGTAAACACCTCATCTTCAATGTAATTTTTTGTGGTGGTTATTTCAAAGTATTTTTGCACAGACTTTGCCTAGAATATTTGTTTACCTGGAAGAACTGCAGTTTCAACAAGGAGCCTTAAAATTGTCATCTCTAAAAATTTAACCTTATCATAATTTTCTGTGTATCCTGTATATAAACTTGTACTGGGTAGTAACTGAAGGTAGACAGACACTTTCAGGTATTTCTGGATGATGAAAATTCTAAATTTCATAAGAAATGTTACATTTCTTTAAATAAAGCTTGATAGGGAGAAAACTGTTGTAGGAATTTGATGCTACATTATGACTTTAAGGAAAAATTCCTTAAATGCTGAAATACCACAGATTAGCTTTCCGTTAGTGTGTAAAAACAGAATGTTTAGTGGACCATACTTTTGTTCTGAGTGTCATTAGGCTGCAAATGCCTAAGAAACATTTAGGTGTCAATTCAAGAAAACTCATAACTGAAAACATATGTTCCTGAGAGGAGACAAGCTGATTTCTTTTTCTCATTTGTGCATGCAAACTTAATGACTTTTTGTGCTTTGGTTTACAGAATTAGGTGCAAGTTGTGATTCTGTTTTTTAAGCATATGGAGTAAACACTGTTTTCCCAGATTTGTCTCTCTGTGGAACTGGAAGGACTGAATATTCAGGGCTTGAGTCCCTGAGAACTGACAGATGTTTACGTGCCCAGTATTTTTATTCCCCTCTGTTTATAAATGTGCATATCTTTTCACTTAGGCATGTAAGCATTGTTTGGATATTGTAGGAGCTCTGCGTAAAAGTTACTGTTGAAATATGTCAATATTGTATTTCTTTGATGGTTTTTTCAGGTAATGAAGAAGGCATCCAGGAGGCAGCAGAACCTGATGGCGATGCAAGGTCAGAGAAACCAGGGCAGCTTGCTGTGGAGACTGAAGATTGGGATGGGCCAGGTAGGGAAAAACAACGGAAAGCCAAGAGAAATTTCTTAAACTAGATTCCAATATTTGCTATTTTTATTATTTTAGTAGATAGTTATGCTTTGCATTGATTTTTAATGAACTGTTTCTTTTATGATTCTTTGGACTCCAGGATATTGACAGGTAAGTACTAAGGTGAATTTCTTGAGTGAAAAAATGGGTTTGGTTAAACCATTTTGTAAATTGTTCAACATAAAATGCCTTGTGTACCTACTTGATGTAAAGAAAGATGTTCTTGCTGCTTAGAATTTTGGGATCAAAATTTATCGGTAAGTTCTTACTTCCATGGTTGAATTAAGGGAGAAGCTTTTCTGCTCTGTTTTCTGATGCCGGAAGACTAGCAAGCACCTGGGTCTCTTCTCAGCCTTTGTGCCAACATTTAGCAGTGTACTGAGCTTACCAAATAGGTATGGTATCTACTGACATTGTCAAGGACTTTTTTTTACCTATTTTAGCCTGATAGAAATCATTGAGCACACCTGGTCATTAATTTCATGGAAAGAGAAATTCAGATTGCAACTTCAATTAAGTATTAGAACTTCACATAAAAACAGTACTTCAAGGTATAAGTGAAGTACTTCTACTGTATAAGTGAAGGTGGTGCAAGCATAACATTGCTAAGATATAAGATGTAATGATAACATTGCAATATTTCAAGTATCTGTTCAATATAAGAATGTAAAACCTCAGCTGTACCGTAAAAGTACCTAAGGCACAGGGGTAAGTTGTATTTTTCAATTAGGCAATTCTGCAGTTGAATTCAACACAATGTGTTTATGGGTATGGACTTGGAAATAGGCCTTAAAAATCCATTATATTAACCATAGTCTAATAGTACTGTTAGAAAACGTACATCTAAAGCCAAACATGGTCTAGCAATACGTCTTATGGAAATTTTCCCTAAAAAGAATGAACATATCAGAAAATAGTTCCAGAAACGCTCCATCAATAATTTATAATGCAATAATAATATTTCATTAGAAAAATACCTATATTTCCATCACATTTTCATCGTTGCTTGATTTTACAAATTAATGTATGCTCTTCAGGAAGAGAAGAACTAAACTAATGCTAATTTTCTGAAACCAGTAGCTGAAAAATACAATGCAAACAAAAAAGAAGACATAGTATATCTAATTAAATATTTTTAATGATAATACACAAAGAAGTTGATATTCTGTATAAAGCACTATGGTGCTATATGAAAACAAGATTTACTATTATAATACACTACCGTACATTTAAAATAATGCAAAATATGTATTTGGATGCAGCAGAATGGCCTTTTCCAGCTTCATAGTAGATTTAAAGGCTATCAGTATTCTCCATATGACTTGTTTTTAATTTCGTTATAAATAAACTCTATCTGAAATTTGTAATTTGTTGTTGCATTTTTGGTTTTAGTGTATTTAAACATAGTTGAATATGCTTTTTATGGGCTGTCACTGCTTTTTATATGAACTACCTTATACAGAAGTTTCTGAGTTCTTTTATGACACTACGGAGTAAAACGAGATTTTTTTTATTTTATTGGGAAAAAAACCAGTTTAACAGTAGGATGTGTGTACATCTTGTAATATTTATTGATAGCTTTGACATGTGATAAGATGAAAATCAAAGCTGAATGTGGAAAAATTCCTTTTGACTTTTGAAACCTGGTGACCAAAACCAATCATTCTCTACAAGGGTATTTAAACATGTGAGAAAAGGAATGGATACATACCACATCCCATACTCTCCATCATACATGAAATTTAGTTGGTTATTTATTCATATGGAAAAAGAAGTGATCAACAGAAGATCATTTTCAACCATGCAGTACAAAGATGACGTCTTTCAGTTCTTTGAAAAGAAAAAAAGCAAAGCATGAAATATTTTGCTTATTTTGGAACATATTTTAGCACAACACAAAAAGAACCATTGAAAATTTTGCTTCAGCAAATTTTTCAACTGGCAGTAGAGACTTTACCTCAAAGAGCAGATGATGATACATTCTTTGTTATCTGAGCTGTCTCTGGTCTCCTTACCATCTCCACTGACTGTGTTCTGCATGATACAAGTTGCTGTCAACTGATAATGTGAACTGTGACAACTCAAGAATTTATATAAATAGTAGAGCTGTTTTGTTATTTTAATATTTTGTGTCTTTTTTTAGTGCTAAGGGAACATATTGTGATTTTCAGAGCCACTGCTTGCCAGGAACTGAAGTTCTGTGGGTTATCCATTAGCAATAACTTACATGCGGATGAGTCAAAGTTAAGCTTCTGGCATTAATTAGTTTTATTTTGTTTGAAAATTTGCATTGTTAAGTGGTTCACATGCATTCCCAAGTCTTTGTAATTAGAATGTTTTTATGAAGAAAAATCTAAAGTTAAGAGTTTCTACTGAAGCAATCTTTCAGATCACAGAGTTTTATGACCTTCACTGACCATCAAGGAATTGCAGAGATAATGCCTACTCTGTGTAGTCACTTTGAGTGTTACCTGAATGTTTTTCAACTATCCTCAGTTTTCATTGTTCTTGTCCTCAATTTTTAAAAAGTCTTTTCATTGAAAAGACTACTCTGAAATAACGGAAACTGAGATCAATAGGCTGTATACTAACACACACTGATCCTTTTTCCAAAATAGCTGACAGCAGAAGTCTAAGGAACAGTAAGAGCAAAGCAAGACTGAACTTAAGTATGTTTTATGGAAAAAGACTTAGTTTTTAAACATGGAAGCAGAGATAATTTTACAGCCTTATATATGCTGTTTGCCTTGATACATGGAAATCTATAGCTCTATAGCCTTTGTATTATTACTGAGATATCAACGCGAGTGAGGCTGGTGGTCAGTGCTTTAACACATAACGAAGAGAGAGTGAATCTCCTATATGTCTTCTATACAGATCATCCATCACATTAGAGAATAGGATCATTCTGTTTTTTACTGGATATATGTTCCATGCTTTCATATCAGAACATTCATAAAATTTCTGGAAATTATGGATACTAGGCACCTCAACTAAAATATTGTCGAAGGCCATATAAGGAAATTATGTGTTATATGCCATCTTGAAAGAAAAAGAAAAATTGTTTGGAGATTTAGAAATGAATGCATGTTTATCATCTAGTAATCATGCCTGTATTGGTGGATAGAAATTCAGTCCTTCATACTTATCATCTTAAAACACAGCAAATATGAACTGTAACGAAAGGAGAAAAGGTTTGAATTAAGATTATAAATTATAACTTGAAAGTTTCTAAGAACAATTTTTAGACTTTCCAAAAGCCATAATAAAAGTGAATGTTGACTTCACCCAGAAGAGAATTTAAAAAAACCCCAACAAAACAGAAATATCCAAGTTTAAAATAAATGGGAAAACAGTGGATGTAACCAGATGCTAGAACTGTAATACCAAGTTAAAAAAGTATAAAAAAGAGGAAAACAAACTAAAAGTCCATCATTAGCTTCATTAATAACAGTAAGATGATATTTTAAAATATGGTACAAAAAATAATTCAAAAATTGTAGAAAATTGGTATTGATCTATTACAAGTCCAGACTCTTAATAGTTATAAAGTAATTTTAATATTCCTAGTCTGCTTAAAACATAGTTGTGCTGAAAAACTTATTTGACTGTTGGTGATGACTGTACTTCTGTACTATCTAATTTAAGCAGTCTGATAGTTTGAATTTAATTTTTTTTAGGGGCTAGATGATCCATTGCCCTAGTGGTCAACTACAGTTTTAAAAAAATTTTAATATTTCTCAAATAAGTTCAAAATCAGTAAAGGTTGGTCTGGATAATGACAGACCACATGACAGTGGTCCCATTGGAAATAAGGGGATAAGTGACGTAAGACCCTTTTATTAAGAGACAACCAGTAAGAATGCCAACCTGTACAGTTTAGTGGAAAAAAAAATATATCTTGTAAACCCAACATAATAATGTGAGCTAAAGTATATTTAGTTGTTTGCAATATGTTTAAAATCCTAAGAAAATGCTGAATAATGGATATGTATTGCTACTGATAAACCTGAATACCTTGACATGTTAGCTCTAGCAAAATTTAAGTTCCTGTATAATTAAATATGAAGTCATGTGCTTCATATTAATAAATGTTTTCATAGAATCCTTAAGGTTGGAAAATACCTGAAGATCATCGAGTCCAACCACTTTACTACAGAGCAGTGTGTCCAAAAAAGTCTTGAGATTCAGTGAACCAGGGTTGAGCCCAAAAGGTAGGGTTGTGGCTAACGGGTATGTTTGGGTTCTCAAATTACCTTGCTTGTCTTGTCAGCAGCCTCGTTTGATGCTGAAACAGGGTTCTGTCTCCTACAGTCACGCGATAAGAATGATGTTAAAATTTGGAACAGGTTTAGAGAAGAGCCACTAGAATGTTGAAAGGACTGGTATTATGAAGAAGTCTACATCCTTTTCCTATTTATTTTATCAAAGATATATTAATGTTATATTAAAGGACAACCTGATTATGAACTCCTTTAAATTCAGAGTGAAAATCTGATAACAGTGGACACCTCTTTCTAGCAAAATATCAGAAGGTTAAATTGATGTTGAAGCACCACAATTTGAAACACAATGGATGGATTTTAGTGCTTAAAGTCATTACTGGAGCATTTTATAAAAAGTCGTTTATCTGTCATTATTCAAATTCAGGATGAAATACTTTCCTAAAGAACATGATCCAGTTCTGTGGCAAACACTGGACTTTTAAAATGAGATAGATTCCACTAGGGCAGAGGTTAGACTGACTGACCATGATAATTCCTTTTAACTCAAATGAAATTAATAAATGAATATACTTTATATATTACATTTATAAATATTGTACCATTTGGATGCATTTATAATGAATAAATATGAACAGTCCTCATAAGCAACTCCCAATTTTTATTTCTCCATTAACTTTATATTAAAGCCATATTAAGAATGATAACTTCTCTGTACTCTTCTCAATTCTGTGCCAT